AAAGCTGCAGGAGAAATACGGGAGTGCGGACAGCTCTTTGAGATGCCGATTTCAGTTCTTTCGGACGTAGACCCAGGGGTGGGATTGCTGGGTCATATGGTAGGTTTTTTGGTTTTTAGTTTTTGTTGTTTTGGAGGGGGGCACCCCGATATGAGCAAGAACCTATGACAGTTGTAGTTTTAACTTTCTGAGGAACCTCCGTAGTGCTTTCCGTTGTGGCTGCGCCAGGTTGCGTCCCACCGCCAGGGCACGAGGGTTCCCGTGTTCCGCATGCCCAGCGACACTTGGGACCCGCTGTGTTTGGTAGTTGCTCTGACGAGAAGCTTCCTCACCGCGTGCGGCCCGATAGCTCATTGTGATGTTGACTGGCCTTTCCCTGCTGATTAGGGATGTGGAGCCACTTTCCATATGCCCTTTGGCCATTTGTATGGCTTCTTTGGAGAAATGTCTATTCGAATCCGTTGCCCATTTTTACATTGGGTTGTTTGTTTTCTTGCTATCGGGTTAGGAAAGTTTGTTATACGTAGTGAAAATCAACTCCTTGTCAGATACGTGGTTTGCAAATGTTTTTGCCCATTTTGCAGATTGCCTTTGCGCCTTGTTGGCGGTTTCCTTTTCTGTGCTGAAGCTTTTAAGTCTGATGTAGTCGCACTTGTCTATTTTTGCTTTCCTTGCCTGTGCCGTGGGTGTTGATGCCACGAGATCTTTGCCAAGACCAATGTCATGCAGCTTTACTCTACGTTTTCTTTCAGGAGTTTCACAGTATCGGGTCTTTTATTGAATCTTCAATCCCCTTTGGGTTGATTGTCGTGTGTGGTGTAACAGAGGGTCCGGTGTCATCCTTCTGCACGTGGGCATCCGGTTTTCCCAGCGCCATTTGTCAAAGAGAGTGTCCTTTCCCCGCCGGGTATTATTGGCATCCTCGTCAAGATCAGTTGACGGTACATGCCTTGGGTTTATTTCTGGGTTCTGTTCTGTTCCATTGGTCTGTGTCTGTCTTTCCGCCAGTACCATACTGATCTCCTTACTGTAGCCTTGGACTGTGTTTTGAAATGAAGGACTTGGGTACCTCCAGCTGTGTTCTTCCTCAAGGTGGCCTTGGCTGTTCTGGGTCCTGTGTTGTTCCAGATGCATTTTAGGATTGTTTTTCTGTTACTGAGAGGTGCCGTTGGGATTTTGATAGGCATAGCACTGAGTCTTTCATTTTTCTTTGTAATCAGATGACGTTGCTTAATCAGTTATATGCTAAATCTGAGGATTGCCTTAGTTGGTTTTCAGTTACTGAACCACCCTTGCTTTCCTGGACTAACCCACTTGATCATGGTGTGTTTTCTCTGAATGGATTGCTGGATTCCACTGCTGGTATTTTGGTGGGGAATTTTGTGCTTGTGCTAAGAAAGAACATTGGTCAGTGGTTTTCTTTTCTTAGTATCAGTGAAATGCTAGCCTCCTAAATCACTTGCAAGTGTTTCCTCCACTTAGTTTTCTGGAGGAAATTGTGTAGAATATCTGCGTGTGTCTGTTTCTCCTGTCGATATTTGGTAGAATTCACTGGCGATACCATCTGGGATTGTCGTCAGAGGTTTTAAACAACTGAGTCCGTTTCTGTAAATGATACTGAACTGTGCGTGTTATTTCGCCTTGGGTAAGTGTTGATGGTTGATGGGTTTCGGGTAGTCAATCCATTTCCTAGCTGTTGCATTTATATATGTAGATTTGAACGTAATATTGCCGCCTAGTTTCTTTCATATTTGCTGGGTCTCTAGCAAAATCTCCTCTTTCATCCCTGCTATTGGTAACTTATTTCTCCCTCCCTAAATCGCCACCTCTGATAACCACAAATCTGATTATCTTTTCACACCCGGAGCCGAAACCAAGAGTCAGACGCTCAACCAACTGCACCACCCGGGCGCCCCGCGACGTCTTTATTCTCCACATCCCAGCGAGCATTTTTATCTCTGGTCTTTTTGATGCTAGCCATTCTAACAGGTGTGAGGTGATGCCTCATTGTGGTTTCGATTCGCATTTCTCCGATGATTAGCGGTTTGGAGCTGCTTTGCATGTCCCTGTTGGCCATTTGTACGTCTCCTTTAGAAAACGCTCTAAGCACAGCCTTTATCCGTCTTTAAATTGGACGACTAGCCCTTTTGCTGTGGAGTTGTATGAGTTCTTTCTATATTTTGGATATGAACCCCTTGACGGATACACGGTTTGCACGTGCTTTTTCCCATCCTATAAGTTGTCTTGTCACCTCGGTGGTGGTTTCTTTGGTGTGCAGCAGCTGTTTAGTTACATGTAACCCCACTTGTTTCTTTTTGATTTTGTTGCCTGCGCTTCGGGGGTCATATCCAGGAATTTGCGGCCAAGACCCAGTGTCAAGGAGCTTTTCTGTCATGTAGCCTTCCAGCAGTTTTATGGTTTCCGGCCTTACACTGAAGTCTCTAATCGACTCCAAGTACATTTTTGTGTGTATAAGCCAGGCGTCCAGCTTTCTTCTTTGACGTGTGACTATCCCATTCTCCCAGCACCATTTATTGAAGACACTGTCTTTTCTCCGCTGCGTGTTCTTGATTCCTATGTCAAATATTGGTTGACGGTATATGCATGGGGTCATCTCTGGGCTCTCGATTCTGTCCCGTCGGTCTGTGTGTCGGTTTTTATGCCAGTGCCACACTGTTCTGATTTCCCTGGCTTTGTCGTATGGCTAGAAAGCAGGAAGTGGGATGTATCTTGCTCTGCTCTTCTGTTTTTCTTCTTTTCCTTCCTCAGTCCCGTGAGAGGTGTGTCGATTTTATGGGTCATTTCAGAGAAGCAACTCTTGATTTGAGTTCCTCTAATGTGTCTTGTTAGAAACGTCATTGATTTCTGTTCTTATGCGTTGGTAAATTCTTATTTATTCTTACGGGGAATTTTCAAATGATGTCCGTAGGCTTGAGTATCCTTTTTAAGGAGATGAAAGCCAGTGAAACTTGAAAAGAATGTGTCCCTCCCCATGGTGAAATGCTTAGATTTTAGCAAATGTCTGCTTTTCGAAAGTACATGAACACCTAGGAGGAGAGCGCAAGCCGGTCACGCATGGATTGTTCTTAAAGTGATGCTTGAGAACGGTTATAAAACGTCCGCAGGAATTACCGTGGTTGACTGCGGGACATCATTTTGCATGGCGGGTCACGTGGGTGGACGCGATAATGGCTGTCACTTCTGAGACCCTGGTTATATGCCGTCAGTGTTCTGAGCTCTTGGAACTGTATTATCTCATTGAGAGCACAGAACAGTCCCCGCGACTAGGGCTCATGGTCGTCCCCATCTCACAGATAGGAGACAGAGGCCCGGAAAGCTGAAGTCAGAGGAATAATAACGGGTTTTCTTTCTTCTTTTATCACCACGTGTTGCAGTCTGGGTTCTTCTGGCCGTGCCCGTCCCTCCGCCACCTTCCAGCTCTTTGAGAACCTTCATCTTCACCGTCCTGTCTAGACCCAAGGGCCGGGCGGAGCTGTGAGCACCGACGACGCCTCCATGGATCCAGTCCAGAAATGTAACTCAACACTGATTCCCGAATCTTCCCCGATGAGCTCTGAAGAGACCTCCCGGGAAGTCACAGCAGCCTCCCCTCCTTCCTTCTCAGAACTGCTTATGATGGGCCTCGGTGACCTCAAAACCAGTCCGGGCACCAGACACCCTGCCCCTCTGCCAGAGGGGCTGCTCCAGCAGCGGTACAGGGATGAGAAAACCCTCCAAGAGAGGCGGTGGGAAAGGGCAGCGTCCCCTCAGAGGAAGAGAACACTTCTGGGGCACGTGAGACGGCGACACCTCGATCACGTGGCACCTTACCGGGTCGAGAGGAAGGCCAGGGTCTCTTCCTCGGGGGATAGGGATCCGAACAGATTCCGATGTGAATGTCGATACTGCCAGAGCCATAGGCCCAGCGTGTCCGGGATGCCCACAGAGAGGAAAGGGGCCCCGCATCCTTCCTCCTGGGACACGCTGGTGCAGGGCCTCAGTGGCTTGACCCTCAGCCTGGGGACCAGCCGGCCCGGCCTTCTGCCCGAAGGGGTGCTCCAACAGCAGGAGAGAGAGGAGAAGCTCCAACTGGAGATGCAGCAGGAAAGCAAAAGAATGTTCCAGAGGCTCCTGAAGCAGTGGTTGAAAGAAAACTGAGGCTCTCGTCCTCACGTGACAGAGATCTGAACGGATTCAGACGTGGAGGCTGGTGTGGCCAGATCCTGAGCGTGGGGTCCTTTTGGGGACCGAACAGTAAGCAGTCAGAGAAGTCAGAGAAGGAGCAAAAGCAGCGTGAGGACTGGACACTCGGTCCGTGTGAGCGTGGAGCCAGTCCCGGGAAGGGCCTACCCTTTCCTGCCTGGAATTCCTGGGTCACCGTGGGGCTTTCTGTGGTTCACTGCGTACCAGAGGTCCTTAACTTCCGTGTTGCGGCTCCCATGATGCATGTTGTCACTTCCCCACCCCGGATGTCTGTCTCTCCTCCCCGCCTCGTCGTCGGTAAGATATAGGGTTTCTCTGTAGCATGAACGCCCTGGTGATGGCCATGTGCTTTCGTGCCGTGTCACTGACCGCCTCCCAGAAGCAGCACTAGGTCTGCTGGGATGCCCGTGCGCTCAACTGAGCCCCACTTCCGAGAACCTGACGCTAAATCGAGAATCTGGCGGAAAGGGACGTGGAACTGGAACGTGGGCGTTCACCGTGGTGTTCTCTGTGTAAGCCGTTATGAATACGCTGAGCTAAACGTAGGTCAACGCTTCCCTGCTTCGTGGCATTGATGGTATTCCCCTTGGCGGAATTGCTGGTGGGTTGCCTCGTCATGCGTACCAAATAAATCTGCGTATGAAAGGAAAATAGCTTTTGAGTTCTGGTTTCTTGATCCCTGTTGCTTTGTTCTTTGTTAGATCTGAGATGACGACATTTAAATCCTAGAGCAGCAGATCACGGTTTATCAGGCGGAGCTGTAAACTGTGCGGATTTGGGGCAGGGGACGGGGAGGGCACCAGGGAGCAGCATCACGTCACCGTCTGCGGCCCTGCAGCAGGCCCGGCCTTCACGTGATCCAGGAGCAAGGGGAGGAGAGTCTTCCTGCCCACAGAGAATTGGAAGCAGAGTCCGCTGCACACGGTAGGAGCTCCCGCGGGATGGTGCCGGTTCCCCTGGCCTTAGGATCTTCAGGGGCCATTCCTCGTTCGTTGCCTGGTGGCCCCGGGTTGGTGCATGGGAACGGCAGTTTCATGCCTGCTGCGGGACAACCAGAGCATCGTTGAATTATTGGAGGGTCGTCTGGGGATTTAGGCACGTGCCTTTTCATTTCAGGATTCATTGAATGAATCGGTCTCCCCCCCGCCCCGCACCTCCCCGCCTCCCCACACACAAACACAGGATCCAATGCTGTGTACCCACGAAATGCCCATGCGATTCCTCTAAACTGACAGTAAATTCTGCTTTCTGTCAGGCTCTATTTTTAGGTAGTCCCCAAGGCTGTGTTGCTGCCAAGATCTACGAGTCTCCCGCAGAGGGAAGTGGCTTGAGCACAGGTATGTTGATTATGTTCTCAACTTGTGATCTCATCTGAGAGCTGAGGAGCTCACCTGACCCCGCCAGGCTTGTCTCCCACTTGAAGGAGAGGGCCAATAAAGCAGGACTTTTCTTTTTTCTTTTTAGATTATTTATTTTCTTTTTAGATCATTTATTTATTTATGTGAGAGAGAAAGAACCTGAGCAGGGGGAGGGGCAGAGGGAGAGGGAGAAGCAGACTCCCCGCTGAGCAGGGAGCCCGACGTGGGGCTTGAACCCGGGACCCTGAGATCGTGACCTGAGCCGAAGGCAGACGCTTAACGGACCGAGCCACCCAGGCGCCCTAAAGCAGGACTTTTCTTTCTTGAAACTCCGAGGCCTCAATTCAAACTGGTCATTTGGGGTGTGGGGAGCAGGAGTAACATGGCATTTCAGTCTCTTGATTGTGTACTAGCTGTCAGACCCTATGCTGCATATTTGCAAGTATCAGCTTATGGAATCCGCTCCCAGAGACCCCTCGTGGAGCAAGACCTCAGTCTCAGTGGGTAGGTGGGGAAGCGGAGCACAGAGAGGTTAGGTGACTTGCTGAGTGTCGCGTAGGCACCGGAGCGGGACGTGGCACACAGACCTAGGCGGGCTGCATTCAGAGCGGGCATCTCAACCAGCTCACCACCTGTAACCTCCACGAAGGCTGTGGGTGAAGTGCGGAGAACCGGTGACTTTGGTGGACGTTTCCCAGCCGGAAGCGCCAAGTCTTATGAGCTACCTCCTTGAATCCTCTGCAGAATGCCCTGGGGCAGGGCCAGTCTTCCCCACCGGGCAGAGTTCACAGAGACGGGAAGGAGGTGGCCTCACCTCTGCAGCCACGCCAACCACCATCAAATGCATAGCCACTCGTGAAGGTTTCCTTGTCTCCCTTGCCTCCCCCACGCCGTGCTAGGCTGGCTGCCGGGGCGGGGCAGTTTGGAGTAATGGCGAGACGGTCCCGGGCCTCGGGACTTGAGCCTTCAATCAGGGAGAGCTGGGACACCCAGACGTGTGGCAGGGAGCCGTCACGGATCCCCTGTGAGGCTGTCTCGCCAGGAGACGAGAGGAGCAGGCAGGACCCGGGCGGGGCAGCGCGGGCCGGGGGCTTGCTGAGGGCGCTCCTAGCCACAGACTTACGGCCTACCTGGGGGCCATGGAGAATGGCTGGCTGGGTGTACCCGAGGGACTCACTGGTTCCAACCCATCCACCCCCCCCCCCCCGAAGGCATGGTCCCCTTGCCTACGTATGGAGCGCATGAGCATATCTGGGGGTCCCATCTGACACAGCACACGCTCCCAAGTTCCGGACTGGGAGCCAGAACCCAGTGAGGTCTAGAGATGTTCCGCATGCCGGGTTCCAGACCAGAGACCCGGAGGCAGAGCCACCAGGAGGCAAGAAATTACAGGGAGAGAATGGGGATAAAATGGAATATGCTCAAAGAGAAAACTCTGAATGGACCTATCGCAAGTAAAGACATTGAAGTTGGGAATTAAAAACCTTCCCACAGAGGAAGGGCCTGGGCCTGCTGGCCTCATTGGTGAATTCTGGTAAACTGTGGGAAGAGACAGTAGCCGTCCTTCATAGACTCTTCCAGAATAGACAGGAGGAGGGAAGACTTCCTTACTCAGCCTATGAGGACAATATTACCCGGCTACCGAAGCCACACAGGACAACACAAGACATCTATAAACCAATATCTATTACGACTATCCACCCGTAAACCCTCCCCAAAATGGCACACCAGATGCAACACCATTCACAAGGGAGTATGCAGCTAACCAAGTGAGACTTATCCCAGGGTTGCAATATTGCTTTAGCATTCAAAATGCAGTTAAGGTAAACACCATCATCATAGAGTGAGGACGGGAACCATGTAGTTGATCATCCCGATAGAGAGACAACAGACATTTGACAAAATTCAAGACCCATTCACGCTAAAAAAAACCTCTCAGCCGCCTGGGGCTAGAAGGGCACGTCCTCGTTCTGATAAAGGCTATCTAGAAGAAAAATGAGTCTCATGTCACATCCCATTGAGTAGTGCAAGAATGAATGCTTTCCTCCTGAGAGGTGGACCAAGGTGAGGATGCCGGGGCCCACCGTTTCCGTCCAACACTGACTGAAGGGTCCGGCCGGCGCAATCATGCAAGACAAAGAATGAGGACATGGAGAAGCCGGAAACGAAACCTATGTTCAAGCAAAGACTTGTACTCAGACGTTCACGGCAAAAAAGGGGAAGCCGTCTAAAAGTCTGTCAACGGGTAAAAGGATAATCAAACTGGGGCAGTGGATGCCACCGGTCTACGAAGACGGATGACCTTGTGGTGTCTGCAGCAACACGGATGAGCCCCCACAGTGTTACGCTAAGTGAAAGAACACGGACACACAAGTGCGCCTGAAGCATGAGTCTGTTCACAGGAAATGCCCAGAGAGGGCAAACCTACAAGAGATAGAAATTACCTTAGGTGTTGCCTCGGCCTGGAGGTAGGAGTGGGACTTGAGTGCTGCCGGGTACACAGGGTCCTTCTGGAGGGATGAAATGATGTACAGCTGAATCCTGCTGAAGGCTGCGCAACTCCGTAAATCTACTACAAGTCACTGCATTGCAGCCTTTAATTGGGTGAACTCTGTGAGAGGTAAATCATAGGCTTTATTTATTTATTTATTTATTTAAAGATTTTATTATTTGGAGAGAGGGCATGAGTGGGGAAGAGGGGTGGAGGGAGAAACACCCCCCCCCCCGCTACACAAGGAGCCCAACGCGGGGCTCCATCCCAGGACCCCAGGATCATGACCTGAGCTGAAGGCACATGCTTAACCGACTGAGCAACCCAGGTGCCCCAAATTACAGCCTTTAGAAAATGTAATGCAGATGTCTAAGTAAGTCCTGGAGGAAGAGGTATGCCATTGACTTTATAACACTAAGAAACTGCCCCATCTCTCGTTCCATGTTCTCTGGGTCCTGCCTGTGTGACCCATCATCACCTGCCTCCTCCATGTGAGCTAGCATCTCCCGCCAGCCCAAGCCCTGTGCACAACAGAACGAGCCCTGGGCACAACGGAACGGAGTGCTGGTGAGTGCAACGTCTGCGCGTGTCTGCGTGTCCGCGTGTCCGCGTGTGCGGGCAGCCACTGGGTGCACAGAGTACAGAGTGGTTGTCTCAGAAATCTGTGGCTGGGGCCAAGTTCCCATAGTCCCTGCTGCATCTGAAACCCACTTAGGACTTTTCCATTCTTCAGGAATCCCATGGCACTGGCTGCGGTGTCCCTGGTAACCAGCCTCACCCTTCGCTTCAACCTCTGGCCACAGGAAGACATGTGTAGACTGGGGAGGGATGTTGTCCCCCCGCCCCTCCCCAAACACAGGGGCCCCTGCCTCGCTCAGCGAGCCAGTGGGGATCCACGGCAGAGGGGTAACCAGGACGATGGAAATCCCGCTGCCTTTCCATCCTTGAGGCCCTTCTCCCTCCCCTCCGCCTGCCTGAGTGTCCTGTAGAGAAGGGGACAGTGGCGCATAAACACAGCCCTGAGTCCTTGAAATTATTCTCAATATGGCTGTAAAGTAAATGCGTCACCAATAGCTCCTGACCTATGAATACAGAAAGCAAACCGATGGCTGCCAGAGGGAAGGGGGTGGGTGGGTGGATGGGGAAGTTGAGTGAGCGGGGCGGGGGCGGGGGGGGTGGGAGATATAGGCTTCTGGTGAAGGAATGAAAAAGTCACGGGATGGAAGGCACAGCCCAGGGAATATCGTCAGTGATACTGTACTAGCATTGTCTGGGGCCCGGTGGTAGCTACGCTACTGGGGAGCAGAGCAGCTAGACATGTTGAATCACTGTGACATACGCCTGCAGCTGATGTAACATTGTGTGTCAACTAAACTCAAATAAAAAAAAAAAAAATAGCTCCTGCAAGAGAAGACACAGAAGGGATTTTTAAAAATTTCAGTATTAGTACACATGGCTGTAGATTCCAAGATCCTCTTTAAACCAGGACCGGGAAAGCTCAGCGATGCTTCTCAACCTCAGCTGCACATCGATTCTTTCCTGGAGCAGCTCAGAGAGGGCTCAACACCTGAAAAACAAATAATCCAGTTTAAAAATGGGCAGAAGACGTGAACAGACATTTCTCCAAAGAAGACATCCAGGCGGTCAACAGACACATGAAAGGATGCTCAGCATCACATACCATCAGGGAAATGCAAATCACAGCCACAGTGAGCTATCACCTCACACCAGTCAGAACGGCTAAAGTCAAAAGCACAAGAAACGACAGGTGTTGGCGAGGATGTGGAGAAAGGGGAACCCTCCTACACTGTTGGTGGGAAGGCAGACTGGTGCAGCCACTCTGGAAGAGAGTATGGAGTTTCCGCAAAGAGCTAAAAATAGAACTGCCTATAGTCCAGCAATCACACTGCTGGGTATTTAACCAAAAATACAAAAACACTAATTCGGGGGGGTACACGCACCCCTATGTTTATAGCAGCATTGTTTACAATAGCCAAAGCATGGAAGCAGCCCACGCGTCCATGGAGAGATGAATGGATAAAGAAGATGTGGTATATATACAATGGAATATTACTCAGCCATAAAAAAGAATGACATCTTCCCATTTGCAATAACACAGGTAGAGCTAGAGAGGATTATGCTAAGCCAAATATGTCAGAAGACAAGTGCCATATGATTTCACTCGTGGAATTTAACAGCCACAAAGGAGCAAAGGAAAAAGAGAGAGAGAGAGAGAGAGAGACAAACCAAGAAACAAACTCTTAGCTATAGAGAACAAACTGATGGTAAGCGGAGGGGAGGTGGGTGAGGGGATCAGCGAACTAGGTGATGGGGATTAATTAGTGCCCCCCTCCTGATGAGAACCGGGTGGTGTATGGAATTGTTGAGTCACGGTACTCTACACCTGAAACTTATATAACACTATCTTAACTATACTGAGAGTAACATAAAAAAATTATTAATAAAAAAAAAAAAAAAGAGGGACAGATGCAGGTGCTCCATCCCCAGGGAGTCTGAGGTAGGGAGTCTGGAATGTGGCCCCAGCAAGAGCATTGTTTGGAAACTTCTATGAAAACCTAGTTTGCAGCCGTGGAAACAGAACCATCCTTAAGGCGAAAACCTCAAGTCAGAAATTTAAAAATAGAGCTACCCTATGACCCAGCAATTGCACTCCTGGGTATTTACCCCAAAGACACAGATGTAGTGAAAAGAAGGGCCATCTGCACCCCAATGTCCTCAATAGCCAAACTGTGGAAAGAGCCGAGATGCCCTTCAACAGATGAATGGAGAAAGAAGATGTGGTCCATATATACAATGGACTATTACTCAGCCATCAGAAAGGATGAATACCCAACTTTTGCATCAACATGGATGGGACTGGAGGAGAGTATGCTAAGTGAAATAAGTCAAGCAGAGAAAGTCAATTATCATATGGTTTCACTTATTTGTGGAACCTAGGGAATAGCATGGAGGACATTAGGAGAAGGAAGGGAAAAATGAGGGGGGCGGGAATCGGAGGGAGAGATGAACCATGAGAGACTATGGACCTGAGAAACAAACAGGGTTTTGGAGGGGAGGGGGGAGGGGGGATTGGTTAGCCCGGTGATGGGTATTGAGGAGGGCACGTACTGCATGGAGCACTGGGTGTTATACGAAAACAATGGATCGTGGATCACCACATCAAAAACCAATGATGTATTGTATGGTGACTAACATAACATAATAAAATTAAAAAAAAGAAAAGAAAAGAAAAGAAAGAAATTTGAGACTCCCCTTACAAGGCCCGCAGGTTTTCACCATTACCTGCTGTGATTGGCCGATCTCATAGGCTGTGAGGAAAGGAAAAACAGGTCAGAGTAAACGCGGGCTTTAAAACTGCCATTGTACTGGCTGCTCTCAATGTTCCCGAAAACCAGAGTTTGAAGTTAAAACCCTGCATTTGCTCACGAAACGTAAGACTTTTTATTTCCTGTCCAGATCCCTTGTGCTTAGCTACTTTAAGATCGGAGAAAACACTGTATCGACCACTTCATCAGACAGATCCCAATAATTCTTTGAAAACGCGTTGGCTGAGATTCGTATCCGTTGATGGCGATGGGCTCGGCTGTCAGGCTTATCTGCCAAGTCTACTGAGTTGTGTTTTTTAACTTTCTCTTATACTTTCTGTTCTCAAACTCATTCCCATGCTCAGATAAGAGCCCAAACAGGTCGAGGTATTGATGATGAAAAGTAAAATTGAGCAGTCCCTTGTTTCATGCTCACCCAAGGACACGTGCCTCCCCAAACCTTCTCTTTGAGAGATTGGTTCCAGATACTCAACTCCATATTCCAAATCCCGGGCTTACTGCTGTGCCTCATTCATCGAGTTTACACGGGGGGTTCTTACAGAAGATGAGGATTTCAATCTCCCAGGTGTATTGCAGGGCCCGGGTGTCCTCAGGAATTCCTGTGGGGAACGCACCCGAACCAGGAGCTTTGTGAGGACGTGCTCAGAGTGTATCTGCGGAGAAGGAGCCCTCACAGGCGACTTTGCGAACACCTGTGGCAACGTGAGGATCATGGTGTAGCCTTGTCCTGAGCAGGTCCCAGAGAGTCGGGGTGGGGGGCGGGGCGCGGTGGAGAGCACACCTAGCAACCTCCCCAGGATATTGCCTTAAGGCATTGGGTGGATGGTGGTGTCCACCCGAGAGGAGGGAATGGAGGTCTGGGGTCGTCTGCAGATTGGCAAGGCTTGTGGGACCTCTGAGTGCAGATGCCCCATAGGTTCAGCCCGTGGGGGTCTGGGGCCCAGCAGGCATTTCTTAGGTAGACTCGTTGACGGGAGAAGCCACAGGGATACATGGGGATACAGATGGAAGCGAGTCAGGGGGGCAGAGCTCTGGGTGGCGATGTAGTCGCCCACGGATCGTGTATAGAATGAGAAGAGCGCAGAGCAGAGGTTGGAACCCTGGGAGGAAAAAAGAAAACAAGATTTAGGACGGGATCAAATGAAACGGGCCAACGGGGAGACTTAGAAGTGAAGATCTGAGAAGCAGGGGGAAAGCCAGGGTGGGCTGCGGTCCCAGCAGCTGAGGAACCACAGCATTGTGAAACCGAGGGCTGTTACTGTGGCCGAGACGGCGCTGGGTACTTTGGTTTGGCAACATGGAGCTCTTTGGAGAATTTAGCAAAGGGATGATCCGCGGGTGGGGGACATCGCGGAGGGACCCAGAGGTAGCCAAGTAAGTCCATTCTGCGGTCTACACGATCAAGAAACCTGGCTTGACACAGGGCGGTAGTAGAAGCAGGTGGCTGTGTGCTTTCAGAGGATGTTAGTTTCTGTCCCCAGGAGCAGGTCCGAAAAGCAACTGGATGCAGGCTCCAGAAACCCCTGCGGATGGCGCGGGCTGTTGACTCGATGACAGAGTCGAGAGCTGGGGTGAGCTTCACCGGTGTTTCTTTCCGTTGCGGGCAGAGCGGTGGGGTCCGTGCAGCGGTGGGGTTGGAGCAAGTCTTCCATCACCTCTCTCCCGCCCCATTCCTGCCTCCGTGACCCATGGAGAAGCGGCTTCATCTTCCGGGCAGACGCCTCAACGGCTGGTGTCCCGGCAGAGCCCCACACTGAGTTGTCAGACGGGAGTGAAACAGAGGGGGACCGAACGGGAAGTTGTGGCAGAGGTGGCATCTGAGGACAGGAGTCCTGCTGGGGACGCTCAGAGCAGCGCCGCCATTGAGGGCCCTGGGTGTCGGGGCCGGGGGTTGGGGCGATGGCAGGTCTGGGGACGTGGGCGCCTGGCCACGACATTCAGACCAAGTGTCTCCGGCAAACATGTTTCTTGGTTCGGGGCAACCTCGTCTGCGGCCGGGGCCTGGATAGACTAGAATGCTCTGTAAAACTAAGTCCTGGTCATGAGACTGGCCTCGGCATGTCCTCTCTGCTGGTGAGGAGCCTGGGCTTTCGGGTCCTTCCAATGAGGAACAGAGAGGCTGGGCCATGGAGCCGCAGGACAGAAGCGCCATGTGATTCTGCCCCTGCAAAGCTGGGGTCAGAGTGCCGTCCTCAGATCACCGTGAAGAGGATGCCGGGCGCAGGCTCCGGCGGGTGGCTGCAAGTCAGGGGGGGGCCCAGGTCCAGACTGTTCTAAGATCTCACACAGGGGCCACTGGGCAGACGCCGAGCGGTAACGCAGGCGAACGCTCTCAGGAGAAGGACCAAGGTCCGGTCCGAAAGCCACTTCAGCCATTGCTCTGTGGCCACAGAGTCCGCGCCTTTCTGAAGGAAACCCCGTCGTTCCAAAGCTCCTTATCCCTGCTGGATGAGGGAGGGAGGCAGGGATAGGTCATTATCCGACAGGAGGCCAGATGAGGAAGGGAGGCCCGGTGAACCACGACTGTAAGAAGAGACCAAGCCCTTGCTCCAGGTCGACCCCTTCCTTCCCCAGAGTGACACGAGAGCGTGGTGGCTTCTTCAGGACTAGACCCTGGTTTCCATCTGAGAGACTCCGGGGCCTCAGGGCACCACTGTCTGTTTCAGACGGAGGGGGGTAGAAAGCATGACCTTCTGAGCTTCAGGAACCAAGTGGGGCAGTGGGCATAAGCGAGTACGTTCTAAGTCCTCTAGCTTCCTATAAAGAAAGCCCGTCAAACACCGTTCGTGCTGCATGACTGTGTTGTGGCCAGAACCTAATGGGCTCTCACCACGGAGAACACACTCACGGGGCCAGTGACAGCAGCTGGAGACCTGAGACTTGTCCTTGACTGGGCGCCTGATTGCTGGTCTCTGCAAACAAAAGCCTGGGTCCCTACTTGCGGATGTGACAGCTCTAGGCGGACCTGGGGAGGCTCTCCCTCGAAGATCAGATGTTCTGAGCACCCAGCAGAGGGGGGAAAGGATCGTGGGGGGGGGGGGATAGTGCTGGCTCTGTCAGCAACTACTGAGGTCCTCACTTGGGCCCCTCAGCTCCATGGAGGAAACTCACATGCTTTACCTTCAAACGAATTAAGAAGGGAAAACCTCTCCTTCTTCTAATAAAAACCACTGGCTTTAGGTACGATCCTCCAGGCATCCTCCTCTGGCTCTGGACACATTTTCTGAGGCCCAGATCCAGAACTCAGGCCCTGAAGTGAGCGTCTGTGTTGTTCGAGGAGAAATTGCCTGGGGAGGGCAGGGGCAGGGTGGCCACGGGGAGGCCCAGCTCAGCTCTGTGACAACCCTTGTCAGCTACTCCAGTGTGTGTGTCTGTGTGGGCCTCTCTTCTCTCTGTCCTCTGTCCTGGGGTCCGTCTGTGGACGGTAAAAGCTTCCTGAGTTAAAGGAGAGGACAAGACAAGGACCCCCAATCTCCTTTAACATGACTGCTTGGACAGACCGCGGGCAGAGGAAAAGCCGGTGGGGATGGTGAGCTCGGATCACAGACTCACTCGTGCTCCTCACATCACCCAGGCGCTTTGGTTCCGTTAGTCTCCTGACTGAGTGAGGCCCCGCATCTGGACTGGAAGGCAAGGGGGGAGAGAAGCCATGCATTTACACCGAATGTGGTAGGTAAGCGTGGTCCGATGCAGTCGCTGAATGGTCCCTATCTACAAATGCTCAGTCTCACGTTTCCACCACCCCTCGCCCCTCACTCCTCCCCAACATGAGGAAGGGTATGTGTGGCTTACAGGTGTGTGTGATGATGTGGAAAGGGGGGTTCTATGACACACCTATGTGGCTCACAGTGCCCTCGGTGGTCTCTGAGGGAAGGATGACTCTTGTCTCCCCCAGGTCCAGCTGCTGATGCCATGCAGGGAGGCGGGTGTAACTTGCACTTCTGTCTCCCTCCTCTTGGTGGGGACCTGGTGCTCCCTGGCTGCCTCAGCCTCACCTCACTCAGCTGGCATCTGCAAATACCTCCGCATCTGGGTCTCATCCTCCATCCCACCCCTGGGCGGGACTGTGCCCTCCACAGGTGCAGCTGCAGAGTCATCTAAGCCTCTGCCTGGTTAAAGTTTCCATCATGAACCTCTGGTTATGAACCCAGCCACATTCTACATCCCCCATAGGGGAATCCAGCCCCCCCCCCCCCCCATCTCATCTACAACATAGCAGGAACTAAGATCAGCTCCAGAAAGCTATATATCTCAACTCCAGTTATCCCTTTACTCAAAGAGAGCGCTTGGGTCATTGTACGGAGTGTATCCTGTGAGTCCCACGTGTGCATGAGGGGAAACCCTCCTGTACCTGGAGCTCCCCCTCACTTCTCGAACACCTGTCCCTTGTCTGAGCTGTTTCACCTCTGCCGCCACTTCCTCTGGGGGCCTTTGCCCCCTCTGTGACTGAAAAGGATACTCCTTCTTTGGCTTGTCTTTCATATTGACCCGAATTCCCATATATCCAGGTCAAAGGGGGCATAATGTGAAATTCACACGTTGTCAAATACAATAGAAATTGAGTTTATATACACCTCCCAACTCAAATCTATATAAAAAAAGTAGGTGGAGAAATGAATGGTCACAGCGCCAAAGGCGCCTCAGAGGTTCCCTCGCATGTGCACAGAGTGTGAGTGGTGTCAGGCTATATGGATGTTAAGGGAGGCCTTGACGAGAACAGTCGCAGTGGAGAGATAGGGACGAAAGCTCTATCGAAGCGGGTGCAGGAGCTAACGGCCTCGGGAGAAGCTGAAGCAGTTTTGCTTTGAAAGGTACAGATTGGGGGCCAGTAGCTGCAGGATGACTTGGGGGAAGGCAGCGGGGTTCCCCCCCCCCCCCGCCTCTATTGTGGAATGCTCCCATGTAGAGAGAACAGGAGAGAGGAGACACTGCAGGAGCCAAGTCTCTGAGAAGCTGGGAGGCGCGGGATCCTGAGCAGAGCTGAGGGGCTGGTTGCCCTGTAGAGCATGTGTGCAGAGGGGCGGCAGAGAATGCCAGGACAGGGTTTGGGAAGCTGTGGCAAGTCCCACCTGATTGCTACTGTCCTCGCCATGAATCAGTAGGCAGTTGCAACAGACCGGAAGAGAGCTGTAATAGTGTGGGAAGGGTGAGTGGAAATGAAAGGCAATTCTCTGCTGGCCATGGAACTAACATAAAAGAATTCACTAAGACTTTAAAATTTCGTCATCAATGCTCTGGTGCTCACATACAAAAAGGGAGTGTTTGTTATTGGGGGTGAACCTTGAGGTGGCCCTGGGGTCTGGACTGGAGGCCCCCAAGAGGCTGTATACTGTGGATGTAGAGGCATTAGAGGGAGGGAGCTGGAGAACCAGGGCATCCGGTTCAGAGCGCTGAGCGAGAGGAAAGCTACTCGGGACGCCAGGGAGGGGCGCGGCGTTCCTGATGCCCAGGGCGTGTCCGTGGGCAAGGCGATACTCCGCTTGGGGAGCAGGAGAACATCCCTGGGGCGGAGAGGCCAGGGGGCGGCGGGTCATCTTCGTGAGGCTTGAGGGGGGCCCGGAGGCATCGGAGGAGTGAGGGCTGAGAGGGCGGACAGCGAGTGTGTTACGGGACTGGCGTGTTCGCTGGCTAGGGTGGGGAGGGGGACAATAAACAGAGGACCCGTACAGGTGCCGCCCGTGGGGCGTGGGGGAGCTCCTGGGAACCTGGTGACAGTACCGGGATACCCCCGTCTCCCCGGTACCTCTGACAGGTCCGCAGACCCCTAAGGAACCCGGGCCCAGAGCCTGGCGCCGACGTCATTCCACTCCGGTGCGCATGCCCAGAAAGCACCAATCGGGTCGCAGCGCTCACGATTCGCCCTCCCTGGTGCCGGGACTTCCGGGCGCGGGCTTCCGGCCGCTGTTGGCAAACTTCCGGGGCAGGACGACGAGAAGGTTTTTGTGCGGTGGCCGATTCCGCCGGGCCTCTCGGGCCGTTCCCTGGCTTCCTCTGCTCTTCGGCGGCATTCCACGTAGCTCCCACAGCCTTGAGCTGCACGTCGCCTCCCAGGGGAATGGTAGAAAAGATGGATTTTCTTCCGCAACGTGTGGCGCTCAGTTTCTATGGCCGCTAGGTGGCAGTAGTGCGCCGTGCAGGTTTTCTGCCGCTCTCCTCCCCCGCCCTTCGTGCTTGAAAAAAGCAGCAGCGGCTTGTTTCCTCTAAAATGGAGCCGCCTTTTTGCGCTTGCGCGGGCAGGCCGCCTGGCGCCGGCTCTGCCCGGTTCCCTGCGGGAGGCGGGGGGGGGGGGGGGGCTGCGAAAACGCACCGCCCACGGACGAAACCCTTCTGCTTCGCCGCTGGGGGCTCTCCTCAGTCGCTGCCTGCCGGTCCGCGTCTCCGAGTCGCCTGCTCGGTGGCTTTCCCTAAGCCCCAGCCGTTAGCGGGCGCGGAGGGGAACCTGCACTGGGGAGTGTTTAATTAAAGGCCACAAAGCTTGGGGCGCCTGGGTGGCTCAGCCGTTAAGCGTCTGCCTTCGGCTCAGGTCATGATCCCGGGGTCCTGGGATCGAGCCCCGCATCGCCCCACATCGGGCTCCCTGCTCGGCGGGGAGCCTGCTTCTCCCTTCCCACTCCCCCTGCTTGTGTTCCCTCTCTCGCTGTGTCTCTGTCTGTCAAATAAATAAATAAAATCTTTAAAAATAAAAATAAAGGCCACAAAGCTAGAGTTCGGGCTCAGGGAGAACTCTGCAGGTGGGGGACGCCGCTGAAGGTGGCGCAAGGGCGCGCGCGAACTTGCTGATGCGACTGTCCCTTCACGTAAACATGCTTGAAATGGTCACTTTTATGTTCTACCGATTTTCCCACCCCAAAGGTGAGAGAAAAGCTCTTCTGGTGAAGCTGACACCGCGTGGGAGTTGCTCCAACTAAGGCGGTGCACAAACGGGTCAAACTGAAATGGCAGGTGTCACATAAGCCTTGAGAGAACAGGGAGGTAACCTGCGGCAGGAGGTGCGTGCGGTCCGTCGGGCCTTCCTTGGTCTGGTTTCTGCCTCCATCCCCTCCTCATGGTCTCCGCCCCTGTGTCCCCCTGGGGTCCCTCACGCCGCAGGCGCTGCGCTGCGCTGCACGGGGTGCTGCCGAGCACACGACGCCCGGGACTCTTGTGACGGGCACGCTTACCGACAGTCCCAGTGCCTGTCTGCGTGGCCTCCCACGCAATCCATCCGGTGTCTGAGTTTCCGCTCCTTTGTCTTCTGGGGCGGGGGGGGGGGGGGCGGTTTCTCTTGAGTCAGATGGATGAAGCTTCAGTCGCCTAGTAACCAGTGTTGGTCTGGTTGTTGTTGTTGTTGTTTTAATTAATCTCAACATCTGTTCCCAGGAAGAGAGCGAGGTGGAGACAAGTGCTTTCTCATCAGTCCTGGACCTTTAGCTGGGCTGATGCCTGAGCTGAGTGACCCAGTGAGGAGGACCAGAAGGATGTTGCCATGACAGCAGACTCCCACACTCCCTTCCAGCGCACGGGCCCTTCTCCCTCCCTCTCCCTGCCTGCTAGGATCTCCCCTGAGAATGGGAATGTGCTTTGGCCAGCAGGGAAGGAATCCATGTATGGTCGAGGATGCAGGGGGAGAGGCGTAATCTTGGGATGTCTGCAGAAGGGACCAGAGCCCCAAAGAAAGCAGTCTGTACAACACTGAGGCCCCAGGAGACGACGAAGCCTGTGAAAGCATAGGGGCCTCTAAATGCGGTTCTGGGATTTTCTCCAGCAGTCCACGCTGCTACACCGTTTTCTGAAGCCAAGCTCCATGGCTCAGACCCTGGAAAATGGGGCCTGTGTTGTAAAGGAGAATGGAGCCTGGCATGGCTTGTGGAGGCCATGACAGCCTGGAGAAGGACCTGCTCCCCTCCGTGACAGCTCTCCTGACTGACGGTGGCACTCTGTGTGTCTGTCTGGTCTGCTCATCCTGCTGTGCTCCGCGTTGGGGTCCGCTTACACGGGATGCGAAACATGGGCCTAGTTCAAGGAGAGGACAAGGCGGAGATGCCCCCGTCTCCTCTAACGTGGACTGATTGGAGGGTGGACGGAGGACGAGCTGCCCGGGGTGGTGAGGTGAGATCACACATTCACTAGGGCTCCTCAGACCACAAGGCCACATTGGTTAATTTCTTCTCAGTGGCTGACGTGATCTTCGTGATTGTTCACTGTCTGGACCCGCTAGAAACGGAGCAAAAGACCCAGTGAAATCATTGCTGATCCGGTCAGGGGGGTGGGATGCAATCATGTGAATGATCTAGTTCAATAAATGCGCAGGCTCTCAAGATTTCCACCCCGGCTCCCTACTTTGCCCAAGCTGGGGAAGGAGAATGTGTGGTTTACACGTCTCCTGGGTGATGCTGGAAGGGGGGCATCTAGGAAATTCTTATGGTGCTCACCGAATGCTCCCTGGTCTCTGAGGGGAGGAGGACTCTTGTCTCCCGGGTCCAGCTGGTGAGGCTGACCTGCACCACCCATGCATGTGGCTGGTGAAACTTGCATTTTCCTCTCTCTCCTCTTGGTCGGGACCTGGTGCTGCCTGGCTGAGCCAGCCTCAGTTCACCTTTGCTGGCATCTGTAGACCCCTCTGAATCTTGGTCTCAGCCTCCATCCCCACTCTGGGCGGGGCTGTCGCCCCAAGGCTCAGCTGCAGGGTCACCTAGTCCCTCGCCTACTTAGGCTTCCTTCCCCAACCCCTGGCTGTGGACTCAGCCACTTTCCACATTTCCCCCTCAGGGAATGCAGCCTCTGGGGTCTGGCCCATAGCACAGCAGGAGCCAAGATCAGCTCCAGAAAGCTAAGTTCCTAACCTCAGCCATCCCTCTGCCCACGGAGGCTGCTGGGTCATCCCGCAAAGTGAACTGACTCCTCTGAGTCCCAAACGTGAATGGGGGCAGAATGCCGTCCTCCGCTTCTCTGCTGTAGCTCGCTTGTCCCCTCCCATAGAGGGGAGACTGAGCCTTGAGAGCCTTCCCTCCATCTGCCACCTCCTGTGTGTGTCTTCTACGCCTCTGAGGCGGGGACAGAACATTCTTCTTTTGCTTGACCTTCATGCTGACGAGGCTCCCCACAGTATGTCCAGATCCCAAAGGGAAAGCTGTAGGATTTGCTTGCTTTTTTTTTTTTTTTTTTTTTTTAAGAGATTGGCTAACTGATAAACATAAAATGGAAGGGATTACCAAACGTGACTGCTTGTGCCATCATCAGCAGGGCAAGATCTGTAAAAGTAAACTCAGAGCTCAAAGACAGACACCATGTTTTAAAAGGGCCCTAGGAGATGCCGTGTCACCAATTTTAATGTCAGTGCCCAGAGAGCTTCACTCCTCAGGCCTCTGCTCCCACCAGCGCCTGGCAACCATCCAGGAGAGTTGGGCAGCAGAGATGAACTTACCCAGAGCTTGTGAGGTCTCCCAGGGGTTACGGAGCAAGCCTGGGAGCGTGTGCACGTCTGTCTAGTCCAGGAATGTCCTGGAGGGCCGGCAAACTTTCTTCCGGTGTCCTGTTTACCGCATAATAAATTAGAAGGGCAGCACTGAGATAGGCTCAATAGTTTCACCTTTAAAAGAAATACTTTTCTGATTACCGGGAGGAGCCCGGTGGACATTACTGGAGAACACAATGAAACCACAACTGTCTAATTCTAAAAATCCCTGAAACGAAAACGTTTGCTTCACAGCTTCCCATTCTTCGGCGGCCCTCTTCCTGAAGTTTGAATACAGGTTCCTGGCTCAGTCCTAAACCAGGCATGTTTTCCCCAGGTGTTTATGGGTGTGGGTCCCCTCGAGACAGGACACGCGGGGGCGCTCCGGCCCCCAGCAGCTTTTCTCGGGCTCCTGAGTTCTCCAGCTGGCGGCTGCTCAGCAAGATCTATCAGATGCATTTTAAGAGCTCCAGGTGCCTGCCCCGTTCTGAGAACGGACAGTCTCGGTCGCCCTATGGGCTCACGCCCTGACTGCCTGCCCTCTGGGCACATGGAGAAACCAAGGCACAGGGAGACCGAGGAACGTGCCTGCCGCCATGCAGCCAGAGAGCTTACTAGATGGGAGTCCTGGCATCACTGCTGCCCACCCTGGGTGACCTTAGGATCATATGCTAACATCTTCTCTTTTCCCCTCTCACTCACTATGGGCATGTCATTTTAAGGAGCAGTGAACGAATTTAATCCCTTAGAAGGAAATGAAGGCAGGGCAAGGTATCCCTCGTGCCTTTAAACACAGACCCCCTCAAAACCTGCAGGGGCTAGTGGGGGGCACACGTGTGTTCCTGTGGATGTAAAGGGAGATTCTCCACTAACCCTCCCCCACCACCCACCACCCCTTCCATAACCTGCAAAAAACATAACAGGTCTCAGGGGGCCTTTTATTCAGCATCCAACAACACGAATGAGAGCCTCTCTTATTAGGTGTTTGCTACTCTTGTACAAGGTGGTCATCTAGCGCTTACCTGGGGAGCAAGAGAATACCAACCAACCAACCAACGAACCAATGCATGAAGAAGTTAGTGTGGTAAGCGTTAGGAAGAAAATAGCCCAGGTCCTAGGCCAGGAACAATCTACTTACACAGAGTGGTCAGGCAGAGCCTCTCTGAGAAGGCAATGATGGAGCAGAAACCCTACGGCTGAGAAGGAACCAACCATGTAAAGATCCGGGGCTGGACTCTGCCGGGCAAAGAGCACCGTGATGACCAATGTCCTGACCAGGGAATAAGCTTGGCATGTTCGAGGAACAGAGAAGTAGGCCAGAGTTATCGTCGTGGAGGCAAGAGCTGATGGGATTGTTTGGATATTAAAACAGTAGCAGTAGATAAGCACAGAAGGGGATGGATACAGGATATAGTCAGAAGGTCGGCTCTAGAGGACTTGTTGCTGGACTGCGGTGGAGACCAACAAGATGCAACACGCGAAGAGGCGTGCTTGGGGCACGTGAAGTGTATGCTTCCTCCTGGCCATCCAACAAAGACAGACAAATCTGGATCTCTGGGCACAGGTTGCTGCGTGAGGTAGGAGTGCAGGAGGTCACATTGGGTACATGCTCTGTTTTCTGCTGGCAAAAAGGATGAAACAACCCACGGAGAGAGTGTAGCATGAGCAGGGCCCTGTCAAAACTAAAAGCCAGTGGAAAGGGAGGAGTAAGCACTACATACTGACAAGGAGCAGAGTGGCCACTGGGGTTGGAGGAACAACACCCAGACAGTAAATTGTCAAATGTGCAAAAATGAAAATTCAAAGAAAGGGTGGGGGAGGGACAGTGTCAAAAACGAGGCAATTGGGAAATGAACCAAAGGCATCTGAGAGGTACAGTGAGTCGAGGAGAGGACATCCTCACAGGGGTTGGTGATACGTGAAGGCCACTGGCGCCCTTGACAAAATCGGTGCTTTTGGGGGGCAGGCTGATAGAAGCACGACTGAAGTGGGTTAGCAAGGAAAGGGGTTACAGAACAAGGGGAGACTTGCTGTCGGGAGCACCAGGGAAATGTGGCAGTATCGCAGAAATACAGGGGATAAGTGACGGCTTTATGTTTTACTTCATCTGGTGTCAGGGGCGAGAAATATGAGCAGGTTCGGAGTGAACAGAACGACGGGGATACAAATGGGACAGGCGACCATTCAGGAGCACTGCAAAGGCCTACTCACCCTGCAGGAGATGGGCATGGAAGCTGATTGCTGTGGATGCAATGCAGGGGCATTAGAGGGAGGGAGCTGGAGAACGAGGACAAAGTGTTCGTGTCCGGAGTACAATGCTAGACACCACACCACTGAGGCGCGCGGGGGTTCCTGAAGCCCAAGGCAAGTCCGTGGGCAGGGGGATGCTCCGCTTGGGGAGAAGGAGAACACCCCTGTGGACCGAGAGGCCCCGGAGCGGCCGGTCATCTTCTTGAGACTTGAGGTGGCTCCGGAGGCATCAGAGGAGCGAGATTGAGACGGGGAGAGAGAATGTCCCGCCGCATTGGCGTGTTCAAAGGCTGGGGTCGGCAGGACAATGACCAAGGCACGGTACAGGTGCGGTCGAGACGCCCCCGAAGTCAGGCGACAGGACCCACATTTTACCAGTACTGTGATTTAACAAGAACGGGAAATTCTAGTGGATTTGGGGAAGAAGGCTGGTTCCGACATCACGCACTTCCGGCGCGCTGGCCCAGACGCATTTCCGGCGCGCTGGACCAGACTCAACCAATCGCAACCTAGCCTCGCTCCAGCCCTGCCGGTTAGCGTCCTCCAGGGACAGGACTTCCTGCACCGGTTGCTCTGTTTCCGGGTGCGGGAATAGGGAAGGCTTCCGGGTTCGCGAGGGGTCGGTAGGGCCACTTTGATAGCATTTCCTCCTGTCCCTGGTCCTCAGCGTCATCCCTTTTGGGTTCCTCAAGTACTATATTTATGGTCTTTCGCGGAAAATACGGCGGAAATTTGTGTTTTTGTTTTGCGGGTTTGTTGTCTTCGGTTTCTATGGACTCTAGGTGGCAGTGGTGCGCCGTGTAGCCATTCTGAAGCCCTCCTACCCCGCCCTTTGTGCTTGGAAAAAAGGCATCATCCTGAAAAGAAGTGACTCTTTTATTGCGACTGCGCAGGGTTGGCTGCTTGGGCTGGATTTGTTCTTTTCAGTCAGGTCTTTTTTGAAAGCACCCCGCCCGCGGACAAAATAGTTTTGCTGTTTCAGTGTGCTGCTTTTCAGCTGGGCTGACAGGGTCGCTTAGCAACTGTTCTTTCTGCGTCTCTGGTCTGGTGTTTGTGTTTTTCCAAATTGTTTGCGTTTTATGGGCCTTTATTAATATATTCTTCAGTTATGCTGGTCACTCCATCCCACTGAGAAAAGTTGGAGCACAGATAAAATATAATAAAGTAATATATATTGCATTTCCATCACGCAGCGCTGACGATTAATAGTATTTTTGAAAAATTCCTAAGGGTTTTTCATTAAGAAGGTGCATTTTAAATATATTAAGCTTCATTTTTGCATCATAATTTCAATCTCCTTTTAAAATTCAATTGTATATATTTGATAATTTCACCTCCCACTTATTGTGTGCCCAATAAATACTGTGAAACTAGAAATTTTATTTTTCTTTCATTTTTCTTTATGTATATAAAATCATTATTTTCCTAGCATTGGATTATAGCAAGAGTTTTCTACATGATTTTTTTTTTCATTTGGCCGTTTGTTATCAGCATTAGTGTATGTAATTAACATTTGAGCAATCAATTATTTTTGTTTTTTCTTTTTTAAATCAATAAGAGTTGTTGCTTTGGAGCAAAGGAAATCTAAGCATGTAGTGACAAAAAATGGTATGTACATATTCACGGTTATGCAAGAAGTTGTATGAACTTCATCTGTAAATCTTTTTTTTTAATTAAAAAGATTTTAAGTAATCTCTACACCCACCATGGGGCTTGAACTCACAACCGGAGATAAAGAGCGGCATGCTCCACCAGCTGAGCCAGCCAGGCACCCCTAGAACTCTTTTTATCTTGCAAAGCTGAAACTCTACCAGTTAAACAGTAATTCCCCATTTCCTCCTACCTGCTTGCCCTGAAACCCACCATTCTACTTTCTGTCTCTATCAACTGGACTACTCTAGGCATCTGATGTAAGCAGGACCATACTATATTTGTCCATTTGTAACTGACTTATTTCACTTAGCATGACGTTTTGTTTTTTTAAGATTTTATTTATTTTTCAGAGAGAGAGAGAGAGTACAAGCAGGGGGAGCGGCAGGCAGAGGGAAAAACGGACTCCTCGCTGAGCAAGGAGCCCGATGTGAGACTGGATCCCAGAACACTGGGATCAAGACCTGAGCTGAAGGTAGTCATTTAACCAACTGAGCCACCCAGGCGTCCCAGGAAAACTATTTTAAAAATCAGAGATGTTGAACATAGGCACATACAAAAATATTTTTCTCATTTTATGATGGCATAATCGTTGAGGAAAATACCAATGTGTTCATCCTATGTATTTACTTGACTGAATTTCCCGAGAAATTACTAGTGTGAGTTTTCCACTGGAAAGCAGAAATGGGTAGTTGAAGAATAGATATGTGCTCTAAGTACATTTATTATTTTTTTTATTTTAAAGATTTTATTTATTTATTTGTCAGAGAGAGAGAGCACAAGCAGGGGGAGCGGCAGGCAGAGGGAGAGGCAGAAGCAGGCTTCCTTCTGAGCAGAGAGCCCCTATGTAGGACTCAATCCCAGGACCCTGGGATCATGACCTGAGCTGAAGGTAGACGCTTAACGACTGAGCCACCCAGGCGCCCCTGTAAGTAAATTTAAAGTACATTTTATCACACTTAGTCTTGTGGCTTGAAGATCTGTACCTTCTACACACATTATAGCGAATATTAGAGATAGCACCAACAATATTAACATGATCTCTAGGAGTGCAAGTTCAAGCAAAGAACCTGTTGGGTTATTTATGCTGGCCACCACCCCATACAGCAGATGCTGCCCTCATTTTAAACCTATGGAAAGTGTGGCACACAGAGGAAAAGTCAATTTTCAGGGGTTTCAGGGCTCCTCAAAGAGGGCCTCAACATTCAGGTCTGAGGTCTGTCAGGCCTTAGATTGCACACTGGTTTGCAGGATGTTCTCCTGCCCCTAATACAAGAATGAAATAAAAGACTCACTGGGAAGAGGGTAAAACAGCCACCAAAACTTTTAAAAAGTGTAATAACATAGTTATTGGCCACAGTAAAGTGCTAAATGGAAGAGGGGGAAAAAAGCAATATAGGTATCAGTATTATGAAAACGTAAATTATATTTACAAAAAAAACATCAGAAATACTTGTTCAATTATTCAACAAATATATATCGAGAATACACTGCTAAGCATCGTTTTGCTGGTGTGCTGAAAATACAGTGCTTAGCAAAACAAAGCAAAATGAACATAACCCCTACCTTAGGAAGGTTCCATTATGATAATGGCCTTTGAGATGGGGGTCACAGGTTATTCCTGCTTTCCATCTCAGATATTAATTTTTTCACTCTTAAATTGTGTATGGTTTTAGGAAGACAAATGAGTAAGAAATTTAAATGTCTTTTTGAAATGACTTTACGAATGGGGTAACAGGCTAAAAATGTGTTTAAAAAGTGAGATGTTCAAGTCATGATGCTACACAAACCGGTTTAAATGCACTTTTATGAATGAATTAATCTCTAGGGAAATTTATCACGAAGTGTTATTAATGGTCATCGCGTGGGTGATGGAACTGTGGATACTATTAGCTTAATTACACTTTACCTGTCCTCCAAATAATCTCTACTGACGCTGGCTGACTTCTATGAGAAAATATATTTTATCATATGTAGAACCCAGGTCCACAAAATCCAGGATACGGTGGGGAAACACCACGAAAAGAAACCGCAAAACCCGGGGCGCCTGGGTGGCTCAGACGGTTAAGCGTCTGCCTTCAGCTCAGGTCATGATCCCAGGGTCCTGGGATCGAGCCCCGCATCGAGCCCCGCATCGAGCTCCCTGCTTGGCGGGGAGCCTGCTTCTCCCTCTCCCTCTACTGTTCCCCCTACTTGTGCTCTCTCACTCTCTGTATCAAATAAATAAATAGAATCTTTAAAAAAAAAAAAAAAAACCCTCAAAACCCAAAATGAAAGTTGCTAAGAAACCTTGCAGCTCCATAAAGAATCCAACATTAAAAGCTAAAGGTTTTTTTCCTTAAGCTTAGTTTTCACTAAAGGAAGCGGGTCCGGTTCCAACCAGCCTTTCCCGCCCTTGGGCAGTAGAAGCCGCCACTCCACTCGCAAAAGGCTGGGGCCGTTTTTTTCAAGGACAAAGGGCGGGGTAGGAGGGCTTCAGAATGGCTACACGGCGCACCACTGCCACCTAGAGTCCATAGAAACCGAAGACAACAAACCCGCAAAACAAAAACACAAATTTCCGCCGTATTTTCCGCGAAAGACCATAAATATAGTACTTGAGGAACCCAAAAGGGATGACGCTGAGGACCAGGGACAGGAGGAAATGCTATCAAAGTGGCCCTACCGACCCCTCGCGAACCCGGAAGCCTTCCCTATTCCCGCACCCGGAAACAGAGCAACCGGTGCAGGAAGTCCTGTCCCTGGAGGACGCTAACCGGCAGGGCTGGAGCGAGGCTAGGTTGCGATTGGTTGAGTCTGGTCCAGCGCGCCGGAAATGCGTCTGGGCCAGCGCGCCGGAAGTGCGTGATGTCGGAACCAGCCTTCTTCCCCAAATCCACTAGAATTTCCCGTTCTTGTTAAATCACAGTACTGGTAAAATGTGGGTCCTGTCGCCTGACTTCGGGGGCGTCTCGACCGCACCTGTACCGTGCCTTGGTCATTGTCCTGCCGACCCCAGCCTTTGAACACGCCAATGCGGCGGGACATTCTCTCTCCCCGTCTCAATCTCGCTCCTCTGATGCCTCCGGAGCCACCTCAAGTCTCAAGAAGATGACCGGCCGCTCCGGGGCCTCTCGGTCCACAGGGGTGTTCTCCTTCTCCCCAAGCGGAGCATCCCCCTGCCCACGGACTTGCCTTGGGCTTCAGGAACCCCCGCGCGCCTCAGTGGTGTGGTGTCTAGCATTGTACTCCGGACACGAACACTTTGTCCTCGTTCTCCAGCTCCCTCCCTCTAATGCCCCTGCATTGCATCCACAGCAATCAGCTTCCATGCCCATCTCCTGCAGGGTGAGTAGGCCTTTGCAGTGCTCCTGAATGGTCGCCTGTCCCATTTGTATCCCCGTCGTTCTGTTCACTCCGAACCTGCTCATATTTCTCGCCCCTGACACCAGATGAAGTAAAACATAAAGCCGTCACTTATCCCCTGTATTTCTGCGATACTGCCACATTTCCCTGGTGCTCCCGACAGCAAGTCTCCCCTTGTTCTGTAACCCCTTTCCTTGCTAACCCACTTCAGTCGTGCTTCTATCAGCCTGCCCCCCAAAAGCACCGATTTTGTCAAGGGCGCCAGTGGCCTTCACGTATCACCAACCCCTGTGAGGATGTCCTCTCCTCGACTCACTGTACCTCTCAGATGCCTTTGGTTCATTTCCCAATTGCCTCGTTTTTGACACTGTCCCTCCCCCACCCTTTCTTTGAATTTTCATTTTTGCACATTTGACAATTTACTGTCTGGGTGTTGTTCCTCCAACCCCAGTGGCCACTCTGCTCCTTGTCAGTATGTAGTGCTTACTCCTCCCTTTCCACTGGCTTTTAGTTTTGACAGGGCCCTGCTCATGCTACACTCTCTCCGTGGGTTGTTTCATCCTTTTTGCCAGCAGAAAACAGAGCATGTACCCAATGTGACCTCCTGCACTCCTACCTCACGCAGCAACCTGTGCCCAGAGATCCAGATTTGTCTGTCTTTGTTGGATGGCCAGGAGGAAGCATACACTTCACGTGCCCCAAGCACGCCTCTTCGCGTGTTGCATCTTGTTGGTCTCCACCGCAGTCCAGCAACAAGTCCTCTAGAGCCGACCTTCTGACTATATCCTGTATCCATCCCCTTCTGTGCTTATCTACTGCTACTGTTTTAATATCCAAACAATCCCATCAGCTCTTGCCTCCACGACGATAACTCTGGCCTACTTCTCTGTTCCTCGAACATGCCAAGCTTATTCCCTGGTCAGGACATTGGTCATCACGGTGCTCTTTGCCCGGCAGAGTCCAGCCCCGGATCTTTACATGGTTGGTTCCTTCTCAGCCGTAGGGTTTCTGCTCCATCATTGCCTTCTCAGAGAGGCTCTGCCTGACCACTCTGTGTAAGTAGATTGTTCCTGGCCTAGGACCTGGGCTATTTTCTTCCTAACGCTTACCACACTAACTTCTTCATGCATTGGTTCGTTGGTTGGTTGGTTGGTATTCTCTTGCTCCC